GTATTTGGCCACCTGGCCAGGTATTTTCCTCCTACGGCTTACTCTGTCCCAACTTTGCTCCTTTCGACCCAGAACTCGTTTCTCCGCCTCGATTTCAACGCCGGGACCTGAAATATGACATAAACACACACCCTAGCGTGATATCGGATTAAAACACTAGAATCCACACCTCAAACGGCTTCAGAACAGGGGTGAAAACATGTGTAATTATCGGTCTATCAATCTCTCACTGTCTCGAGCAAACTGCTCCATGAGAAGCCTCAATTCATAGTTTGGATCTGGCTGTGGTGTGTAGCATGGCTCTGCAGAATGGCCTGTGAAGGCCGCCATGGTTAACTCCAGCTCCGATGGCCCTTCTGGTTGTGGGAGAAAGTCTTCTTGGTAATGAGGTTGTTCTTGATATGCCCAGGGGTCTGGTTGTTCTCCGTAGTAAGGGGTTGGTACTGGAACCCGAATCCATAGTATTCTCCTCCTTGATTGCTGCAGAGAGTCTCGGGGTAATACCACTCGGATGGTGGTGGATACCCCCAATGGTTGGAGAAGCCATGAGGATCCATGATTCAGATCTGCACCAACAAAAACAAAAACACCCAAGTGAAAAGCAAGGGTGGAAAAGAAAAGAAAAACGCTAAAGTAACAAACTTCTGCCTTTCCTAATAATCTAGAAAGTCCCCGGCAACGGCGCCAAAAACTTGACTCGCTATGACACAACTCCTAAAAATGGCCAAGTGTAACCAATGAAAGGGACTGCAGTATAGTGGCTCAAGTAATAAATATCGAATCCACGGGTCTCTAGAGTTACTATTACTCAGCTTCAGTTCATTATCTAGCAAACCAGATTAAGATGGAAGAACTAAAACTACTCTAACAAACTCCAGTTAAAGTTAATCTAATTACAGATTGGGAACTCACTTAGGTATGATTCCCCCTAGCCACTAGCCAGATTAATGACTGATGATCGCTAACCTGTTTCACTTTCATTCACAATGCGGAGAATCCTTGACTAGACCTTGAGTCTCAACTAAAGGAACAAGGCCATCTTGAGTCAATTGCCTAGAGGGACGTATCCTTCTTTAGAACAACCGATCAAGGCGTTCTGAACTAGATTCCCACTATCGAATGAGTTTCTCAATCAATACAAAGCATTGAATCAACCCTCGACTAAAGCAATCGATCCAATACTATCAATCTATGGTGCTCTGTTGACCTAATCAGGTATTCGCTCTCATAGGATCAAAACAGAATCAATAATCTAGACTAAAGCAATTGAATCATGAAAACATGCATAGATTGAATATGAACTCAAGATTATCAAGTAGGCGTACTCTACAATCATCCAATCAAACAAACATAGCTAGGGTTCCTCAAAACCTAAGTGATGGGAAGTTACTCCATAGAGAAGAGAGAGACTGCAGTAAGAATCTTCAGATGATCAGTCTTCAAGTCCGGGCTTGTTCCTCGAGCTTTTAAGGCGAAGAAATCCTCCAATTCCACTCCAAGAATGCCCTCAAATTGCCCTCTCTCTCTTTGGTTCATCCCTTGGGTGTTTGGATCCAAAACTCAGCTCTCTTTCCTTTGGCTTCAATCTGCCTCAAAAACCCGATTCTGGGCAAAACACGGTCGAGGACACGGCCGTGTTTTACTTTTGCCCGCCGTGTTTTGCCCCCAGCAGCCTCGTCGGCCAAAACACGGTCGTGCCTAAATATGGACACGACCGTGTTTTTCTTTAGGTCAGCTCGTGTTTTTACTGCCGAACATGTTCCCCTATATTCAATGCTTCGTTTCTCCCTCGTCCGGACTCCGAATCAGTCGCCGTTTGATCCCAGACGCTCGTAGTCTCGTCCTCTTTATTTACATGACAAACTTGCATGATTCTTTGTCCATAAAGTGAGGTAGAAATCCATTCTTCTTCAGGTCATGCCCGAGTTTCTTCTCCTGAATCGCCAATTGATCTCTAATTGACTTGAAACTTGCGCTTATGCTTCACTTTATGTGATAGGACCTAAAATGTAACAAAGGAACACAACCTAGCGTAAAATAGGCCAAAGAAGCGATAATGCAAGCTTAAACGATCAAGAAACAAAGGGGAAACATGTGCAAATATCGAGTCATCACCTACCCATGTGGACTTTCCATAAAGACGGAGGTACCAGGAGGGGTATTGCCACAACGAACTCTGTTGAGAGTATGGACAACGTGTAAAAGGGGGTCCGGGCACTGCAAATATCCGCCATTGTTGAGATGACTTTATGGAAAACGAATGAATGGTTCGTCAATCGACTCCACTGGGCAAGGACGGATGAGTCACAGAGTAAGGTCCCTGCAATTAAAGTCACTGAAGTCATGGAAAAGAAAATCGGAAGAGTAGTCGGCACCCTGCCACCGTTATGAATCGAGATTTCGGCGATTATAGCGTCGAGACCGGCCATTGGGAGGATGGTAGATGTGGCGGTCATCGGCATGAAGTGAAGGTCAATTTAAGGACAAAACAGGGTGAGTGCTCTTGCCAAAAGTATCAGGGAAGAGGATGGCCTTGTTCTCATGCAATGGTCGTAATAAAAAAAAAAGAAGCAAAAACCCCCTTCATTTCGTCAGTCCATTCTTCAACATCGATTCGCTCAAAAACTGCTATAGAAGGAGTTTTCGAGCATTACCGGATGAAGCTTACTGGCTGCTATATGAAGGAAAGTTAATCATCCCACCGATCAGACAGTGGCGTGAACCGAGTCGACCTAGGGTAAAGAGGATTCAGAATGAGATGGATCAAAGTGGAAGACCACCACGAGGCCCACAGCGTTGTTCCATATGCAAAGTGCCAGGGCATGATAAACGAAAATGTCCTGGACCGATAGGACCGCAAAATCCAGGGGCTGATGTGGTCGACTTTGCTAATGCAACATAGACTGCATCATTTTTTTCATGTAAGTGTGTCAATTGTCTTTATTGTGAACGGTATGATGGTGGCTGATGTATCTTTAATTACTACCTCATTACGTTTTTCTGTACCATCAACCACATTTAAGACATTGAATAAGATAATAACCAACACTCAAAATAACACGGGCACTTGTTGATAATAAAACAAAATTAAAAAGTCAAGTACATAGAACTCAATCGGAACTAAAAACACTACTCAACTCATTGAAATAAAATGAAATAAACACTCAAGGAAGGCCATGTTCCTCGTGGGGTTGCAACACCTTTCAGCTCCTTGTACGACGGCCGATTGGTGTGACAATGGGTGGCTGCGGTGGCAAATAACGACGCCCAGTGGAAGGGTGCTGGTCCGCGCTATGACAGCGGTGGTCTGTGGAAGGTGGCTCCTCCGGACTCGGGCGGGGGGCATCCACCCTCATACAGTGGGGAGTAGGGGGGCCATCGATGCTGAGGGCGATTAAGTTCGATGAAGTCTTGTTGTGCATTCAAGAAGGAACCATCATTCTAAGTACCCGAGGATGTGCCGCCATGTTGGTAGGATGGTCGGGGATCTTGATGGTAGCTCGGGTGAGGCTCGTCGTAGGAGCTCGGTCGGGGGGATTGTTGAAAGCTCGGACGAGGATCGTAGTATGAGCTCGGGCGGGTCTCATAGTAGGAGCTCGGCGTGGGGCTCGTAGTAGGGGCTCGAACGGGGATGTTGTTGAGACGCACTCGGACCAGAACCGTGTGTCACATCCAAAGGAGGAGGCACTTTCCACGTCTCAATCGGCGTTACATCGGGTACGTTCACCCTTTCGCGAGTGCTCTTGTTTGGCCTTTTTGGGTGTGGCGGTGGTGGTTTAGGTACATCAGTATATACCCGATGTGTCTCTAGTGCGGGCATAGACGGGTATCTATGATGATCACGACCTCGCGCTCTTACGCATCCAAGAACGCTGTTTGTTATCCTCTTTAGAAAGCTCACCTCTCCACTGCCAAAAGAATCCCGACCATGAGTCATATCTTTGATCCGCTCTAGCCCATCGACCTGAATCCACATAATGAAACAAAGTTAGCAATCTAACAATTCACGTTATGTTGATAAAAAATGAGAATAAATGGATTAATTATACGAAATTACTTACCAATGCACCATCAGCCGCACCCTCCGGAGTAACGTATTGAACCGATTGTCTTCGGTACTGATCCATGTATGGGTCGTGATAACCCCATTCGCCCCTGAGCAATTGGAGTGAGATATCAAAACCTTGCCTGCCATTCCACATCCGGATGATTTTCTTCAATTCTCAGGCCAATCATCAGCTCCTTGGCGACCATCTCGGTGGTGGAAAGCCTGTTGACTTTCAGGGGACCTTCAGAGGCATGCTTTGCTCCCCGACCAAATTGACGTAAGCATCGATCTGGCAGATGCCACTCCATAATATGGTGACAGATGAGAGGGACTTTTCGCGCACCATTGATTTTCATGCCCAGGGAATTGTTGCAAATGCCAGTTAACGATGTTCTCCGGGTAAGGATCGTATATGATCTACAAAATAAATGCACCACATAGAGTTAGCGTAGTTGTAACATACATGTCGTTAATAACAAGTGAAGAAGTTCAAATTATGATAGTTACTCTCTTTCCCAAAGTCTCTCTAGCCTCCTACGATACTCTGTCAACTTGTGATCGGAAAGGTTGTCGCATGTTGAGGCTCCAACCACCGTATTAATAAGGAAACAGTAAAATGTTATAAACAAATAACTCACTAATGGGTTATGGAAAGCATGAGTGGGTATGAGTAGTTTACCTACAACCATAAGCTTCGAGTCTTAGGGGATTATTGGATCCCAATCCTTGTCGAGATGTTGGACCGATGCAATCCATGTCAGATGCTGCCATTCCTAAAACTGGGACAATGAACATTGCCCCACCAACCTCCTTCACGGCTTTGAGAGATGCATTACACAAATGGTGGTAGATATGAGCTAGACAAGTGGATGTCCAGCTCAAATTCTCCATCGCATCCCAATCACCAAGGAGGATCCTCAGCCACCCACTACTAGTTAAATTGTTGGATTTCTTAGGGAAGAATACTCCTCCGATCATGCCTATGAGAATAGACACGAGCATATCTTTCCTTCTCAAACTCTGAACTTTCCTCGGTTAAGGGGATCCCACCTTGTGTTGGATCGTGTCGGTTCCTGATCTCCCTAGTCAACCAAGTGATTGATACTTGTCGCTTCCTAAATGGTGCGTTGCGATCCTCCACATCAACGCTTCCCTTGACTGGCACTCGGAGGTCCAAAACGTTGTGGATCAAATGCTGCCAACCGGTCATCCCGCCAACATCCGGTGGTGCACGATCGCTCACACATACCGCATTGCCGTCAATGGGCAGATGGGTTAGGACGGCGACATCCTTTAGTGTGATGGTGCACTCTCCTTCGTGAAAATTGAAGCAATGTGTCTCCTTTCGCCATCTCTCCACCAATGCGGTGATTGAGTTGACGGTCGATCTTTATCCCTAAGAAGTACCTAATCGACTCCAACCTTGCCCTTTTGAGATAGGGCTAAGATGACGTCGTTATATGCGAGCACATTGGCCGTACCCCTATAGCGGATTACATAGTATGCATCCTAGAGAAAAATTTAACTTTCCCCATAAGTATATTATAATAAAAAATTATAAATTTATTATAACAAATAGTTTAAGTAAAAAATAATTTAAACGAAGGGACAATGCACATTGAAAACAGTAATAAACCGTTTAAATAAACAATAATAATTATAACAAAAAGTAATCTTTTATAACAAACAATTAAATAAATATTTGAAAACATACACATTAAATCCATGACAATATTGTGTAAATCATATTGGTTGTTTTCAATAACTTAATCTAATACAATGCAACAATCGTTAGATTCTTAGAAGAGGTATACATCTTCTTAGAAACACAGCCTTTTTGACAGAAAAATGGGGGATCCGAGAATCGCTTAAAATCCGATTTTCCCAGGAAATGGGAGGATCATCATAATCACTTAAAACCTCATTGCTTAGGCATGCATCTCTTTATAAAGAGGTCTAGGTAAATGGCGCATTGTATTAGACCAAACCATTGAAAATAATCAATACAATTAAAAATTATCAAGTTTAATTTATAAACCACTAAGTACATAAACCAAATAAAAAAGTGACTTAAGGAGACTAATCCATGTATGTACCTGGTGATCGTTCCAAACATCTCTTGAACGATGGTTAGGTTGGTCGTACAACACGCTTGGATCAATCGGTCCTTGCTCGATATAATATTGTAGGTTGTATATATCGATGTCGTCCCCAACCTACGAGAGAATAACAACATGCATAATTAGTTAGTATATAGATTAATTTTAAAAATTATAACAACAAAAAATTGGTAAAATGAGTACATACAGCTTGATATTCATCTTGGAAAACACCCTCCTCTTCAAACCAATCATTTATTTTTTTAATAAGTCGAACAAAGATTCGACGGGTTTTGAAGGATAAACCAAAGAAATGTTTTCTGATGGCAGATCGAACATAGCCGCAACCAACAGAAAACTATTTTCTAGGTTTTTTTTTTTTTTGGTGGGGTGATGGATAGAGATATAATTTTAGAGAGAGAGGGAAGAATGGGTTGTGGTGTGTAAAAAATGGGAGGGGGAGAGGGGGTTTATATAGCACTCGGACCGCCCCCTTCAGGGATGATTTTGTCAAGTTGCCCCAACAGAAACCGCTCCCTCGGGACACGGTTTTCATTTACCGAGGACGAAGACTGCAGCTTTGGCGAGCTGTTCGTGATCCATGACGCGGATCGCTCCCATGGCATGCGCTCCACCATTAGATCGCGGTTCAATCGGACAGTTTAAGAAACCGTAGCCAGCTAATGCGGTTCCTCGGCCGCCCTAGCACAGACCATGCCTTTCATGCACGGTTTTTGTGTAAACCGCCGCTTTGGTGGGCGGTTTATGTAGAAGGGTACTACTTTTGGAATTTGCCTTGTTTGGGTGCTACTTTTGTAAAAAAAAAAAAAAAATTAACAGTGCTATTTCTGGATTTTTTTCCACCACCTAGCCTCTCTCACGTTTTTTCATTGGGTACTAAAAGGAAAGAGGAGAAAATGGAGGAAGCAGGTTTTTTTCTTTCTTTCTTCTTCATTGAATCAGATCTTTGTATTAATCACCTGCCAAATCTGATACAACGAGTATAGAGGGATACCTCTATGTAGTCCCTACTATACTACATCCAGCTTCACTCTATAACTCTATACATCAACAAGGAAACCAACAAAACTGCTAGAATGTAAATTACTGTCAATTAACTGTCCAAGTGCAAAAATGACAGATCCTCCTGCAAAGTGTCATAAACCAGTTGGTCCCAATAACTCGAGTTGTTGGGAGAAGGTTACGCTGGATCTTATACCAATCTCTTACACGACCCCTCAAATGAAAGCAAACTCATGGGCTTGAAGTTTGCACAAGCCCACCATACCATGTGCTTTAATCAACTGTTGATATTGGGGATCGTGGAGATTCGAACACACGACCACTTGGCCAAACCATCTCTGATACTATGTCATAAACCAGTTGGTCCCAATAACTCGAGTTGTTGGGAAAAGTTTATGCTAGATCTTATACCACTCTCTTACACTCTCTTACACAAAGTAACATTTGAGAAGGCCAAGCTGAATATCTCTTTTAATCATACGGTTTAGCACAAGAACATCACAACCCTTGTCTGCCATGAGTGAGATTGCATCGCTCCCGCCAAATAGCTATCACAATACACCATAGAAGCCCGCTGACTCGAACATGAGCAGCAGCTTTTGCTGAAGCATCTATAGCAGCTTCAACAGTAGCCCCCAAGATGATCGAACAAATAACTGCTCAAGACCAACATTCTGCACTAGCTTTCTATCAAACTCACAGGAGAAAAACAGATGTTTCCTTCCCTCGATTCATCAGCCACATCACATAATGAACAAGAAGAATCTACCAATTTACTCCACTGTCTCAGTTTATCTCGTGTAACTCTACTATTCAGTAGTACCAACCATGCAATAATAGTGAACCTAGGAGGACAAATTAAAATTTGTTCCATATCACCCTAGTTGTACCACCCCACTGGGCTCTCACGCACTCTTGTGGAGTTCCAGAATGTACTTACAGAGTATGCAGGCATAGGAGATCCATCCCACATCACCTCTGTTCCTCGCTTATGGAGCTTTGACCCAATCAAATCTCCGAGTTTCAGAATTAATTCTACAACACACCCAGGAACTACTAGAAGACATCTTCAGCGAGGAGATAGATCCATCTCCACTCCTATAGATCTTCATCCAGGCCACCCAGATCGTCCCTGACTCCATTAAGAAAAACCAGAGCATTCGCCCCACACATTGGATTTCAAAGAAGAAGGGAAAAAAAGGGAACAATTTGTTTTTTAATGTGCTGACGTGCGAGTAGGGGTGAAAATGAGCCGAGCTAAGCCGAGTTTTACCTCAGTTTGAGCTTGACTCGTTAACAAATGAGCTGAGTTCAAGATCGAGCCGAGTCGAGTTCGAGCTAGGCTTGTTTAATAAATTCTTAGATCGTATTTGATACATTCATTTTGTATGTCGTGTATGGTACATGTGATTGATGTAACGAAAAAAAATAATCAAATATTCAACATTAATTAATCTTATATTATAATTTATAGGTGTCATATTGTTTAGTTAATAAATTTTAACTAGTTCAAATCATGTTATGTCATAGTATCGAAACAATTTTGTACATAATTTCTTTATAGAATAAAAAACAAGGCATATTTCTTACATGTTCAACATGTTAAACTTCACATGATGTGAGATATATAGTTTAACAATCCTATGAATTGTGAACGTCCAAATTAGATCGATTCGTTCATAAGTCGGTGATCAAATTGGCTCTCAAACCACAATGTTGAGACATCTCATGAGCTCTAAATGAGCTAACTCACGAGTTGAGATCAACAAGCCATCGAGTCAAGCTAGCTCGCGAGCTTCGCGAGCTGAACATAGCTAAGCTCAAACTTGGCTCGTTTGTAAACGAATCGAGTTTCGAACGAGTTTTTTCCCGATTCGAGCCTCGAATTGCTTGCGAGTAGCTCGGCTCATTTGCAGCCCTACGTGCGAGCATGATTTTAGTTTAATGCTAATGTGGCAGTGGTCTAAATTTTAAACCCTTTTAATATTTTTATAGAAGATAGATAGATAGTTTGGTTTAATAAAATGTATCCGGTTTCAAAGAACCGTCGGATGAAAGTGATTTTTTTAATAATTTAGTTTTTGTCTCACGATAATATTTTTAAAGCACACGAAATTGTTGTGTATTATGACTTAGGAGAATAAGAAATGTGTCGTGCGAACAATGACAGTACATGAGTCATTCATGTATGGTGGTATAAATTGAACGATATTGTTATAGTTTAGTAATTGTCCAATAGGAGTATGACTCGTGAACATATGAACGTGTGTATATATATATATATATATATATATTATATATATATATATTTAACATATATCAAAACTATATATCATTGTGTAGGTCACATATATTTCTTTAGTAAAATAATATAAATTTGGAGTTTTTTTACATAGTCAATAGTACAATAAGGTCAATATGTCAAAGAGCGGATAACAACCACCGGCATAGTCCACCAATAGTCGGACTATCGATAAAAGGGCATGTTTAGTCACAAGATGGACAGCCTTATTAAAACTCCAAAGAGCAAAGAAACAAGCATAGAAGACGAAGCGTCGAGCAAGTCATTTGACACCTTCTAGTATAGCTCATCCAACATCATGATATAGGTGTCCTGTCAACGCCCGTTGCACCACCAATTGGGAATCACCGTAGAATTAAGCCAACCAAATATTTACGGGTTAAGCACTAATTAATTGCATCACGCAAGAGCATTAATTCCATGAAGAATGAATCCTGAATACGATCATAAATCTTGCCAAATGCCAAGACCACCCATTGAAAGTTACATAAAACATAACCACCACAAATTCATAGATTAAGCATCACAACTGTAACAACAAAACACCTCAACTATTTTGCCTTAGAGCCGTAACAACAAAGTTGAGTTGGGGGAAATGAAACCCTAGAAGTCTTAGGTGTTTCTCATTCATACTTGGGTTTAAATAGGCAAAAGCTTTGCACTACAAGACAACATGTGCAAGCTAGCATTTGGAGACTACAAAGATAAAACATTAACTCAAACTAAAGTCTAAACACACATTGACATTAAACTAAACTTGATGATGATGATTTCCTCTAAACCTTGTCGATCCACTTTGACATTCATGGTCGCCGGTTTGAGTTTTAACGATAACTTGAAATATCTCCTGATAGTTGAAGGCGTTTGAGACTCCAATGTCTCTTGCACTTAATTGCTTTATGTGTTCTAGCTCTGTGATTCAGACTTCAGAGATGACTA